AGATGGATTAGAAAGCATTGAGAAAATTAAATATTTCTATCTCTTAACGTACTTTGATGATCAAAACAAAAAAAAGAGAACATAACAAAACAAACAATAGAGTATTATTTCGTATATGCATTAAAAGTGTTAGACATTCTTAAGTACTTAGGCATTATATGTGTATTAACGTTTAGTCAAGTCTGTTTGGAATAATGTTTAGCAGTAAGATATCGCTTATACATATAACATTTTGTGTGTTTATCCTAAACGGTTCGTTTGATAGAGTTATTTCATTAACCAATTATGTTAAACTTCAAAACAGGTTTACTTAAACGATTTTGTCTTAACAACTTTTTTAGTCAAGAATATTTATTTTTTGACACTTTTTTAATCACTTTTAGATATAAAGTTTTGTGAAAGGAATTTTATTTGGTAAATAATAATAAAAATAGGTTTAATTACTCATTTAGATTTAATTTATGTTTTTATAAAAAAATATCAAATTGGTCATTCAAATTTTTTTAGTCTAAATTTGGTCGTGATTTATGAAAATTAATGCAAGTTGGTTTTAATATTTAAAAAATTGATACAATTTTATCTTTTTCCTTAATTTTATTGAAACAAATAATTTTTTTATATCAAAATTGATACTAAGAATATATTAATTATACATACAAAATAAACCATCCTTATTAACAACTTTAATTTTAATAAAAAATTATTGATTTGTTTCAAGAAATTTAACAAAAACAAAACAGACTATTTTTCACATAATCAAATTGTATCAATTTTACATATCAAAACTATATTAAGACTTCAAAAAATTGAAAAATTACCTTAACATTCTTGAACGAAAACATTAACCAAATCAATAATTAAACAAAGAATAAATAAAATTGTTTATTTTCTTATAAAAAATGTATTTCCCTCGCCAACACCAAAGCACGTCGCGGCGCGCGAATAGAGGTGACGCACCGTTCTTTTCATTCTTACTAAAAGTCAAATTTGACGCCGTTAACTTCTTCACTTCGCTCTCTCACACACTTATCACAGTTCCAACAACTCTAATGACACCGTCACACTCCCATTTCTACATAAAGTCCCACACTCTCACTTCATTCCATAACCATTTCTTACACAGTTTTTTTCCCTCTCAAACTCTCTTTCTTGTTCCTTGATCCATCTCAAAGAAAACTCTTCAATTGTGTTCATGTTTTGGACAAGATTATCCTAAATCATTTCATGTATAACTTGTTTTGATTAAAGTTATCTTTAATTTTAAACAGCGTCTATCAAAGTTTATCGAAGAAGATTGGTTTTGGAGTAAGAATTTTGAATGGATCTTCTCTTCTTACCAAAAGTTCTTACCGCGCTTTTCTTTGCGACGGTGATTGCAGTGACGGATGCAAAGCTTCGCGGGAAGCGGTTCAGGCTGCCACCGGGACCGTTTTCTGTACCGATATTTGGTAACTGGCTTCAGGTTGGCGATGACCTGAATCACCTTAACCTTGCCGACATTGCACGTTGCTTTGGCGACATATTTCTCCTCCGCATGGGGCAGCGGAATTTGGTGGTGGTCTCTTCGCCTGAGCTTGCGAAGGAGGTTCTCCACACGCAGGGCGTGGAGTTCGGCTCGCGCACGCGCAACGTCGTCTTCGACATCTTCACCGGGAAAGGCCAGGACATGGTGTTCACCGAGTACGGCGATCACTGGCGCAAGATGCGCCGCATAATGACGGTCCCGTTCTTCACCAACAAGGTCGTGCAGCAGTACCGCGTCGGGTGGGAGGACGAGGCGGCGCGTGTAGTGGAGGACATACGCCGCAGCCCCGACGCCGCGGTCGGAGGGATCGTTCTGCGGCGGAGACTGCAACTCATGATATATAACATCATGTATAGGATCATGTTCGATAGAAGGTTCGAGAACGAGGAGGACCCGTTGTTTCAGAAGCTTCGAGTTTTGAACGGTGAGAGGAGTCGTTTGGGGCAGAGCTTTGAGTACAACTACGGTGATTTTATCCCTGTTTTGCGGCCATTTTTGCGTGGGTACTTGAAGATTTGCAAGGAGGTTAAGGACACCAGGTTCAAACTCTTCAAGGATTATTTCATTGAGGAACGAAAGTAAGTGGTTTCTTTTAATTTCTACTTTCCATTACTAGGAATTTTATGTGACTTGTAGTGGTTGTTAAGTTTACTGTTTTTTCCAATAAATTACAAAAAAAAAATGAGATCAAGTTTATAGTTCATGATGGTAATTTTTTGGCGAATGTCGAAGTTCTTGAGTCATATGATAAGTGTTTCTCAATAAGAATTGACGGGATTACAAGTGTGTACTACTATAATTTAAAGTTTTGTTAAAGTTTGATTGTGTTCTTTAATGAGTAATTTTATTGGAAAGTTTTAATTGTGTTTTGATGTTGATTTTGTTATAATAGTAATTTTTTGTAAATTTAGCGGTTTGAATTTGTTATGCTAATTAGTTTTCACTATTTTTTTGTACAACTTTGATGTTGTTATTTTAGTATTTGAAAAAATTATTGACACTATATTGTATTGCCAACTCAATATGTATTCTGATATGGTAATTTGCATGTCAACATGTTTTTAAAATGTTAACTTTTAGATCAAAAGTTAGACTAAGACCAAGATTATTTAATTGACATGGTAAGGGATCCTATTAGAAAAAACAAATTTGCAAAAGGAGACAATGATAAAAGCTATATAACATCAAAACAATAATAGAATCTGTGCACTAGTATAGAAAGGGTTTCAGTTTGACTTTTTGGTGTTGTTTTGTTTGATTTGATGAAATGGAGAGTGACAGGAATCTTGAAAATACCAAGAAAAGGGACAATGGAGGACTTAAATGCGCCATCGATCACATTTTGGACGCTCAGAGAAAAGGAGAGATTAGTGAGGATAATGTCCTTTACATTGTTGAGAACATTAACGTTGCTGGTAATTACCTTCTTTCTCTCTTTTATTTTGTGTTCAGAACAAATACAAAATGCCAATAGAAGGGAAAAGGAAGGCCTGGACAGATAATAATTTAATATATAATTTTTTTTACAATTTATGATGAAAATATATCAAATCAAGATTCAACTCACGGAATTATTATGCAAGAATGTTGAGGCGTTATTTGTATTATATGAAGCATCTTTTATGGATTTAGATTAAGTAAACAGAAGAAAGGCTTTTCACGTAACTTTTAAATGCTGTAATCAATTATGGGATATGATTTTCCTGCTCCTATTTCCACAGACTGTGGTGACCACTTCATCTTATAGGAATTGGTAAACGGATACCTTGGTAAGAGGGTGATGTTATAAATGTTATAATTGGTAACAGATGCATTATTTTTAGTGAGAGTTTTGGAAGAAAAGTTTTCTGATGGACATAATGTTGAATTTGGAGCAGCAATCGAGACAACTCTGTGGTCAATTGAATGGGGCATTGCTGAGCTTGTGAACCACCCAGAGATCCAAAACAAGGTGAGGGAGGAGATTGAGAGAGTTGTAGGAGCAGGACACCAAGTGACAGAGCAAGACATTCACAAGCTCACTTACCTTCAGGCAGTGATAAAGGAAACACTTCGGCTGAGAATGGCAATTCCACTCCTCGTCCCACACATGAACCTCCATGATGCTAAACTTGGAGGCTATGACATCCCTGCAGAGAGCAAGATCTTGGTGAATGCATGGTGGCTTGCCAACAACCCTGCTCAGTGGAAGAAGCCCGAGGAGTTCAGGCCTGAGAGGTTCTTGGAGGAAGAGTCGAAAGTAGAGGCGAATGGGAATGACTTCAGATACCTTCCCTTTGGTGTTGGGAGGAGGAGCTGCCCTGGAATTATCCTTGCATTGCCTATTATGGGCATTACTTTGGGGCGTTTGGTCCAAAATTTTGAGCTCTTGCCTCCCCCAGGACAAGACAAGCTTGATACCACTGAGAAAGGGGGCCAGTTTAGTCTGCACATACTCAAACACTCAACCATTGTCGCAAACCCAATATCATTTTAAGCTTACAGCATCACGCACGTTAATCTCAAATCGAATTATGGTTTTCAGGATTTCGGAATAAAGGTTATAATTCTCCTTGGTGAACTGTATCTTAAAGGTAATTTATCGACTTCTTAAAAACTTTGCTTAACTCTCTATGTTTGATCCAAGTAATGTAACGATTCTTAAAAACTTACCGTGTTTAAAATTATTTAATTAATCTCTCAACATATAATCGAGAGTAAATACTTATAAGATCTGAAATAAATTTGGGTTAAAGTCTACATGCTAATTAGGTGAGTTGGATTTTGATTCAGTTCAAATCAATTTCAAACTGAGAGTTAGATTAACTCTGATAATCCGTAGTGGAGGGAACAAAGTTAATAAGTTTGATGTTTTTAAATCATTTTAAATCTTGAAATCATATATTTTATTCAAACGTTTAAATATCCTTCAAAAACAAATAAATAAATTTGAAATATATAAAACAAATAAATAAATTTGAAATATATAAAACAAATAAATAAATTTGAAATATATAAAATGTAGTTAATCCTTCTCCAGAAGCTATTACTGTAAAAATTGGTGTCGTCCTTAGATAGGCAAAGGGTGTGATTTCATTTTTGCAACTTTCGTATTCTTTTTGAAAAAATTATTCGTTTATTTATTATTTTTTCTTTCTACATATTTCTTCGGTTCACATTATGTAAATTTTTAAAAAAATATATAAAACTTTTCTTCATATTTTTCGTAATCGTTTTATTTTCTCAATTAAATTTCCCTCTCATAATTTTCATACTTCTTAATTATTATATTTCGTCCGCATCGTTTGGCCAAAATGAATGTATATTCAAAGATTGGGGTATAAATTCAAAACATTAAGAGTAGAATATACCAAAACAAAAATGGGTCAGATTACCCTGATTTTTCAGCTTCAAAATCCTGTTTTCAAAAAAATTCATGCAATATAAGAAACTAAAATTGGAAACAGCAATTAAATATTAGAACTGAGATAGAAAAAGATGTAGGTCGCAACCAGGCCCTCCCATCATTGCGTTCATCAGGGAGAGCAGACATATTGACCTAAAAGATCCATTTCCGTGCACACAACCATGCTGCCTTCATTATTGTAATCCAGAGCATCGGCTTATTGTGCACGGTTTCACGTTCTTATCGCACAGATCGCAAAAACATGAATAAACATGCATACTAATACGCAAATCTAATTGATAACCCTAGAAGAGAATAGTAGACGATACGACGCTAACCCTGCGGCTGCAACGATGCTTTATCAATAGACGAGGCTTACAGGGTGAGGTGAGACGCTATTTATAACGGGAGAGAACTGTTTAGGGTTTACTTGCGCCGTTGGATTGGAGGTCAGTTTGGTGAATTTCTCTGCGTCGCTGTATTTCACGGGCTTCCGTACTTGAGATGTCTGGCCCAAATACAAAGTTGTGAGACTTGGCCCAAAGAATTTCACTCAGCTAATTGTAAATAGTTGTTGAGATATTTTTGTTTTTCGTTTTGCCAGTTATTAGATTTTTTAAATTATCAGAATTTATTGGTAATCTACAATATTCATTGAATGAATTGAATTGTTGAGGAAATAATTTTTTTATTACTTATATTTGCCTGAGTCAAAAAAATCACGCTTAACAAATTGAAAATATTTGCAAAATCAATTTTCAGGCAAATTTGATTATGAATTTTTTTCAAAATTTCAAAATTTATTTATAAATCTGCAATATCCGAAATAAATGCCCTAATCCACTTCGAGGTAAAGAAGTCTGGAAGCAAAAACACGATCTATTCAAATGATGTTTAGTCTTCAAATTGTATGTAATTAGTAGTTACTTTTACGGTCACAAAAATAGGTCGTGATTTGAGGATCGGTTTCCAAAAATGGAACGAGTCAAATTGCAAATTTTAATTCTTTAATTGTTTTGGTTTGATTGGCTTAGCTTGTTAAATTAATGGATTAATGTCCTGTTAGTGCTTTTTAATTAAAACAAAAATAATTTACAATATCAATCGTTTTATATTATATTTTTAAAAGATACAAATATGTAATAATATTATTATTTAAATCATTAATCACTAATATTTACAAATTTACTTATTTATTATAATAAAATAGTTTAACATGTTAATATAATAATTATATTAATTTATACAATTAAAAACATTAATTATTCAATTAAAAGGTTAAAAATATTTATATAATTAAATATGTTGATCACTCTTTTATGTAATATATATATATATATATATATATATATATATATATATATATATATATTTATTTATTTATAAACAAATTTTAAAAAAAATGACGAATCAACCTTCTTACCCTCTTGGAGCCACTTTTTTATTTAGATTTTGGGGCACATTTTTTACTTTCTTTTCTGTTTTAATCTATAAATATATACATGGACATATAATTATGACTGATTTTCTTTAATGATAGCAATATGAATGCTTATTAGGTGTAGAAGACATGTAATTTATTTTATAAACAAGAGATTGTAACTTCCAAGAAAAAAACACAGACACACACGTAGTACATATACTTCTTACAACGTAATTGTAATAACAGACATGTATCTACTGAAGTCCATGTCTGTGTTTATATTGCAGGGAAAAAGCATAGATCTGTTCAGGGTGAGGGAGTGATGAGGCCACACTCTCTTTCTGCATGCACCTTTTGGCCCAAGCCACAAGTGTTGGACACTCATCTTCAATGCTTAGTTTCCCAAACGTCTCAACCGTGTAAAACCAGCTAGTGAAAGGAACAAGAGCCACATCCACATACCCAAACTCTTCACCACCAAAATATGCCTTGTCTCCAAGTTCATCTTCCAGCCTCTTCAAACATTCTATCAGTTCTTTCTTCCACTCTTCTTGCTCTTTACCCTTCCCCGACCATACCCTCTTCACAGCATTGTATACCTGCATCAAACACAATCACAAAATCCTTTATCCTCCTTATAATCAAACTATCTGCTATTAGACTGTGGTCATGTTGGTGTGAAATATGATGTAGATTCTGTTAAGAGGTAGATTTTAAGTCTAATTTAATCTCATAAAACCAACTTTATAAGATGAGATTGATCTTATCTCTAACCACGTAAGACTTCCAACAGATTTTACATGTATCTTTGTATGACCAGGACAATATTTACGAGTGAGAAAAACTTGAATGAAGAAAAGTAATTTTGAGTGTATATATATAACTTACATTTTTGTCAATGTAATCGCCCCAAAACCTGGCTTGGGATCGCTTGTAAGGGTCAGAGGGAAGCAGAGAGGATTTGTGTTTCCATGCCTCGTCAATGTACTGAACAATATTGAGTGACTCACAGATGGGTTTTGCATTATGAATCAAAACTGGTATCATTTTGTGAACTGGGTTCATCTCTAGAAGCAGAGAGCTTTTAGCTTCTAAATCTTCTTGCTTGCACTCATACGAGATACCCTTCTCTGCCAAAGCGATTTTCACTCTCATTCCGTAAGAGCTTGGCCAGAAATCCAGTAGAACCACATTGGAATCTGCCATTTTTGCCTTGAGAATGTGTGTGGTTTAGTTGGATTAGTTTTAATCTGAGACTGAGATTGTTCATATGGTTTAGTTGCTTCTGGGTTTGGGGTATTTATGCATGTGCATTACTTGTTTGCCAAGAATGAAACATGGAAGTTTTACCAAAGATGGTGTCTTTGTTCATTTTGGATTTGAGATCTATCTTTGTTATGCTTATTGGTCGTTGTTCAACGTGATCTTTTGACTTCTATTTCAGGGATATCATTATCTGATAATTTTGTAATATTTAATCGTTTCTTTTGTAGAATAAGAGCATACACGATATCTTTATTGGAAGCACTCAGTGTGGAAGGAATAAATTCAGATGCATTTCTTATATTACAAAAGAAATCAAATTTGACACGCTAAGTGTTGAGGACAAGAGTGGTGCCTTCGTGTGTTTTTTTTGGGTGTAGATCCTATTTTCAATACTACTACCATGCTAACAATCCAGCCATCGAAATTGATCCAGAAGAGAACAAGGTCTTTGGAGAGAAGGTCGTGGAAGAGGTCCGTGGAGAGAAGGTTGGTTGAGTAACTCAAATAATAATAGCTTCAAATGTGACAAGTATGGTCGTTATGTAAAGAAATGTTACTAATAAGTGCTTCAGTTGCAATAAGGTAAGACATTTTGCTAAAAATTGTCAATATGAGAACAAGAAGGAAGAGACGACCAATCTTCTCGCAGAAAATGTTGAAGAGAAAGCGATGTCATTAATGATGGGACATAATTTGGGAGTTGAGTATAAGCAAAGGGAGAACTCGACAAGTAGGTTAGGTGTCATAGAGAATTCAGTAAGAAGGCTGAATACGATAACTCGACAAGTCAATTAAGTAGTGTCGGCATGACAACAAGGCATCTAGATAGATTAGTGGTGCATTCAGATAGCCCACTAAGGTGCATGGAGAGCTCAAATAGATTGGTGAGAAATCTAGATAGCTTGATAGCAAATTTGGATAGCCTAGGTATCTTGGTGGAGCAAGTGAACAACTTGAAAAGTTTGTTGGGAAACTTAGGTAGCTCAGTGGATCATGTGGATAGCTCGGTTAACTTAGTAAAGCCTCTAGAAAACTCAATGGTACATATATACAACTCGAATATCTCAGGCATGTGGAGAGACAAGCTTGTTATTCAAAGGTCAAAATTTGCAAAAGACGATTTGCAAAAAAAATTGAAGTTAGAGGCAATGCGAGTTACAAACAAGCTTAGATAGAAGAAAATAGGTTTTGAATAATTTGTGCTTGAAACTTGAACAGAATTTTCAAAATTGCAAAAACAATTCCAAGGTGAGAAAGATCATAGAGCTGCATTGGAAGTGCTAGACAAGAAGTTGTGACTTAAAATAGATTATATGTTTGGTTGTAAAGAAAGTGTGAAAATTGCTCAAAAGGAGCTCGACCTATTAACAAGAACCCAAGAATCCAGATAATGACAAATTGGCCACAAAGATAATAAAAAATCCAGTTAAGAACAAGTCCACCAACGTTAAGAAGAAGTTTGTCAAAGAAAAAAAACAAATCAATTATCAATAACGAAAAGAACAAGTTAGCCATAATGAAAACAAAGTCGGTCATAAAAGAAGTGAAGAATTCAATCAATCATGAAAGGAACCAATATAGAGTGAGAGAAATTACTATATGTGAGAAAAGCTGGATGAAAAATAGAAGAATCCATATGATGAATTAAAAAAACATTTCTAAATAAACTTAAATGTAGTTAATTACATTTAATAAGTTTTATTATAATTAATTGTCTTAGGAGATTAAAGATCAGGTGTGATACTTTAAAATGATTATGAGATGTAATAGAAGTTGAAAAGAACAAGAATAAAGGTCTATAAATAAGTCATGTATTCTTAAGAAAAAAAAATGTGACAGCAAATAATAGTATTAAAGAGTATCTTTCAAGCTTTTCAGTTGTCAACTAGATTAAGCTGTTTAGTAGGACATGGTTGCATGTATTGAGACGAATTTCTTTATAAATGCTAGCGACTAGAATATAACTAGCTGTCTACCCACCTTTATAATGCCGTAAGATGATGACCTGATATAGCTAAAGCATTTACTGTTACATCAGCTTTGTGGCAATGAAGACCATCTTTGTTGATTGTCATTCAATGTTAGCACTTGAAGAATCACAATCTTTTGTGCTGTGTAGTGACTTTTTTCCTAGACAGCAGCACATTGCTAGCTATATACAAGTTTTTATACATATTAGTTTTGCTTTCCAGCGTTTTTATCTAGTTATCTGGCTATATCATGTTTGTTTTCTCCAAAAACAATGTACACACTACTCCACAGCTCTCAATTTTGCCTCGATATAGTTTTGCTAAATCAAAATCGATCCTCATAAAGTTGAACGACAAGACCAAGAAGTATTATTCTTCTTGTATCTACCAATTATAAGCTACAGGATATAATTTTACACTGTTAAAATAAATCTTCAGTTTCTCACACATATATCATGATTCATGTAGTAAGAAATGCTTACAAAAAATGATTAAGTATTTAAGATCTATAAGTATTACATTGTGTACCATTACAATAAACTTTGAAAATTACAATCTATCCATTGTATGAAGTATTCGAAGAAATAGCCTCTTCTTCAATGACAATTACCAAATTATGGTTAGAATTTATGGTCTCACGATTCCAACTATGTACTGGCTAAGTATGTAGGCATCAAATAGAATATTTGGTTTCTTGTATATGATTTTCCTTATGTTTTCGATGTAATTTCTTCATTTTGAACAAACACAGGCTAAAAGCTGAAGAATTAAGTAGCTCAAATTTGAGAGACGAAATGTTCTGCCACAAGTCGGCGCAAAATCTTTCCTGTGGCAGTCTTGGGCAAAGCATCAGTGAAGAAAACCTTTTTGGGGACTTTGAAGGATGCAAGATTCTTCTTGCCGTATCTTAGTAACTCTGCCTCATCAATGTTTGATCCTTCTCTTGGGATCACAGCACAATATATCTGTTAAGATGTAAAAAGATGTGATCAGTACAATATAGTTAGCCTAAAATTTCTGAACTCTGTCATTTGTTTCTTTTAAGAACACACAGACACAACACTCAGCTTTTGAGCATTTTGAGGTAAAACTCATAAGTAAATCAGAAAAAGACATACCTCCTCCCCATACTTTGGATCAGGCACTCCGAAAGCAACTGCTTGAGCAATGTCCTGGTGTGAAAGAAGGACAGCATCAACTTCTATTGGTGATATCTTTTCACCTGAAAAGACAAAAAACCTTCATCAACATTTTAAATGAGTTCTCGGTAACATAACAATACCAAATAAAAAGCCTACATCGAAACATCTTTCAACATCTTGTCAGTTGTGAAATCTAGAGTCAGTTAACACGATGTCAACGCCAGCTAATTAAGTTGTTTAATGTTATTAAATATAATTAACCATGATTAGTTTGAACACGCTCAGGTATTAAGAAGTTTCTTCACCAATTGCGCGTGCCCACAAATTCAGCAAGAATGAAACTCACGTCACCAATGCTGAATTCAACCTAATATTTTTCTTTTAAAACAAAGATTTCACCAACATTTTCAAAGGTAATTTCATAAAATTACACGTTCACAAAATCAATGGTTAAGCTTAATTCAAGCTAATACTTTTCTTTAAAAAGAGTTTGTGTACAGAATTTGAAAACCACTTAGAAATTATTTAATCCTCGTACCCATTCAAAGAAAATAAAAAGGCATTATTATTGCTTCATTTATTATTCTAAGGATTAAATTTAGATTTGAACATATAATGAAAATGTTATCTCAACAATATACATGAATATGTAATATAAGTTTTTATTAGCTAAATTAGTGAGATAAAAAATTAATTTTTATTAACAAGTAATAAAATAACATCTAAAAACGTATTTAAATTGTTCTTTTAAAAAGTTAAAAATTCACATGCAAAATAATACTTTAATTTGTGAATCAAAATTAATTTGCTTTTAAGTAATGAATATAATATAAGAAAGAAAGAGTATATGATAGAATGTGGATATACCTCCGCGGTTGATGAGTTCCTTGATCCGACCCACTAGGTGCAAATACCCATCAGAATCAAAGTATCCAATATCACCGGTGTGAAACCAACCGAACTGAAACGCCGCCGTGTTAGCTTCCACGTTGTGTTTATATCCGTTCGTTACATTGGGTCCGCGAATGCAAACCTCTCCACTAACTCCAACCTCCTGGACCCGACCCGATTCATCCAGTATACCCATTTCTTGGCCTTCGGGCTTCCCAACCGACCCGGCCTTGTGGGGCCCATCTTGGGGTAAAGGGTTCGAAGCCATGAGATGCGAGGCTTCCGTCATTGCATAAGCCTCCAAGACGGGGGCACTGAAAGCCTCCTCCAGTTTACCCATGATAGCCGGTGCAAGAGACGCGCTGCAGCTCCGGATGAACCGGAGCCTCGGGTAAACTGGTTCGGGATTGTTAAAGTGACGATCCAGTATGATCTGGTGTATGGTAGGAACCGCAGTGTACCACGTGGCGTTGTACTTAACCATGTCCTTCCAGAATGCTGAAGCGGAGAACCTCCCTGCCGCCGGCAGCGCCACAGCCGCGCCGGCGCCGAGAGAACTCAGCAGCCCGGCGATCAACCCATGCACATGGAACAGCGGAAGCACAATCACCGTCGAGTCAGACTCAGTGAGTCGATACACCGAGTCAATGTTCCTCACGGAAGAGAGCAAGTTGTGCTGGGTCAGCGGCACCCCCTTGGGACGGCTCGTGGTTCCGGACGTGTGAAGGAAAAGCGCCACGTCAGCAGGATCGTTAACGAGTGACTCAACCGAGTCAAAAGAGTGGCTCAACGAGAGACTAAGCTCGGCTTCTTCGTTTTCGCTTTGGGTCAAAGAAGCCGCGGCGTGAGCGATATTGAGTTTCGAAGCTGCAGCTTGAGCCGGCGTGTTTCCTTCCAGTGATGTGACCAGAAGCTTTGAATCTGAGTCGGATAAGTAAAACTCAAACTCATCGGCCGTGTAAGCTGGGTTTAACGGCGCGGCTGTGGCTCGCGCTCGAATGACGGCTAAAAACATGACAACAAACTGAAACCAAAACAGAAAACAAAATGTTAAGACATTTCTACGTGGT